GATCTCAGCTCACTGCAACCTCCACCTCCCGGGTTCAAACAATTCTCCTGCCTCAGCCTCCTGAGTAGCTGGGATTGCAGGCATGCACAACCACGCCTGGCTAATTTTTGTATGTTAAGTAGAGACAGGGTTTCACCATGTTGGCCAGGCTGGTCTTGAACTCCTGACCTCAGGTGATCCCTCACCTTGGCCTCCCAAAGTGCTGGAATTACAGGCGTGAGCCACTGCACCTGGCCTCATTAAACCATTTGTCCTTAGCTTCTCCACTTCTCAGGGCTCAGTGTGAAGGTGGGAGAAATGGGGTAGAGGATGCGGATGAGACAGAGATGGTCTCAGGATCGCAGACTGCAGAGTTCAGCACTTTAAGGGAACTAAACCTGTGCCCCTCAGTGAAGAGATGGGAGAGCTGAGGGCAAGGAGGAGAAGAGGCTTGCCTGAGGTCATGGAAAGGGACTGGATGTGGAACCCAGGCCTCCTGCCTCCCAGTGCTCCAGGAGCTCTCTGGGCCCTTCAGAGGCAGGCAGGAATGGGAGGTGGGTGGCTGGCCTTCACTGTTCCTACAGGTCCCTGCCTGTTATCCACGTCCTGTGTCACCGGGTCTGGGTGGGACGGATGGGAAGATCAGGAGCCAGTTTTCAAAAATAGGGAGTGCAGTGGGGATTGGGCTAATGAAGCCAAGTGCTTTTGGGGAGACTCAGGCTTCACCCTTGCCCCACCCTCTCCCTTCACCAACCTGGGCTCATAGGGAGAGAGTAAGGAGAAGAGGTTGGCAATGACAGGGAAGAGGGAATTTACCAAGGTACCAGGACTCCCCAGAGCCCTCGGGGACTAAGAGATCTGCGTCAGAATCGGAAGCTGGAGCAGGTGGGGGCACCTAAAAACGGGGCAGAAGAAGCTGGAGCCCTCCTTACCACCCCCCTTCCTCCCCATTGCATCCCAACCACACAGAGCCCTGGGCCCAGAGACTCTCCCCACCACTTACAGCAAAAAAGAGCAAGTTACAGAAGGGGACGGCGTTCGGGAATACAGGAGTAAGACCTAGCCCTGCTCTGGGACATCCAAGGGCCAGGCAGAGCCTTAAAAGTGAAAGAAGGCTAAAGAGGAGCGTAGGAGCTGCCTGTTCGTGCTTTGCTCAGCTCCAGGTCTGTCCTTCTTGGTTCCAGAATCCCAGAAGGGGCAGCGGTGGACACGGGTCTTAAATCTGTGAAGCAGCCACGGAGGCTAAAAGTGTGGGACGGTGGAGCCGGACGACCTGGGTTCAAACCCCAATTCACATTCGGGCTGCATGACCTTGGGCAGATTCCTCCACCTCTCCAGCCCTGTGGCAATAGTACCCTCCTCAGAGAACTGTTGAGAGCCTTCGAGGTGTTCAGTATCATATCCCCATCATACAGATGGGACAACTGAGGTCTGCCCAGAGAGGAAAGGACGCTTGCCCAGGGTGGCACAAAAGCTGTGTTCAAATTAGTAAGCAGGTATCCTGGGTCCTGGTCATGAGGGGACAAGAGCCCTCCTTGAGATCTGCAAAGTCAGCAGCCCCTGCCTCCTCTGCAGGGCACAGCCAGAACACCCTGCAGGGAGCGCCCAGATCCTGTCCCAACAAACCCAGGCCACTTGGAGCCTGTGTGGGAAAAGCTGAGGTTCCGGCTCTGTGTCCTCAGCTGTCCCGGGAAGGAGGGAGCACAGAGGCCGGCTCCTTTCCACTGCCATTTATAGACAACTTCCCATGCCTGGAATGCCCCGCCCCCTGCAGAACCTGGCCAAGGCAAAGTCTGGCATCAGACCTACCAGAGCCGCAGGGGTGAGGGGAGGCAGGAGAGGGGAAGGGGGCCTGGCTTTCCTCAGGAAACCTGTGTGACCTTCAGTCAATCATGCCGCAGCTCTAGACCTCAGGAGTCCCTCTGCACTTGAATTCCATGTGGCATAAGGAAATAAGATTCCAAAATCCCACACCTGGGTTTGAATCCCAGCTCCACCATTTTTCTTGATGTGAAGCATATTTCTTCACCTCTCCGAGTCTCAGCATCTTCATCTGTAAGATGGACTGACAACTCAAAATAAATAAGTCCGGGCACAGTGGCTCACACCTGTAATTCTATCACTTTGGGAGGCTGAGGAAGGAGGATCACTTGAGTCCAGGAGCTCAAGACCAGCCCAGGCAACAAAGTGGGACCCTGTTTCTACAAAAAATTCGCCGGGGGTGGTGGCACAGGCCTGTAGTCCCAGCTATTTGGGAGGCTGAGCTGGGAGAATCACTTGAGCCCCAGGAGGTCAAGGCTGCAGTGAGCCCTGACTGTGCCATGCGCTCTAGCCTGCGCAACAGAGCAAGACCCTGTCTCAAGAAAAAAAAAAAAAAGGCTGACAATAGGGGTGCAGCGTCTCCTAGAGCTGCAAGGGGGTTGCGTTACCAAGTGTAACTCGTGTGTAAACCATCTAGCACACGGTCAGTGCCCGATAAATGGAAGCTACTATTATGAGAGCGTTATACTCCTTAAGTCCTTATTTCTAAGGACTATTTAGAATTGCCTAATTACCTTCACAAGGAGCACCTCACTAGCTCCGTAACACTCTCCGGGCAGGTGCAGGGCAGGAATCCTCATTCCCATCTCACAGATGAGGAAACTCAGGGTCAGAGTCACACCATAAGGAGCTATTTCAGCTGCAAGTCAAACCTAAATCTTCAGCTCCCAGAGCCTACTTTCTCTTCTCCCAGACTAGTCTCAGATTCCTTTTCCAGGGCTAAGGTCTGACTCCAAAGCAGGATGTAACGGAGGCCTCTGGGCCATAAGGAGAAAGAGTTGGGGAGTGTTGCTGGGGCTGGGGGCAGGCAGCAAAGCTCAGAGCACGCAATGGGATGCAACCAGTACGTCCCAGCTCTGTCCAGTTTTCTTGGCTGCCTCATTCCCAGAACCTCTTACCTCCTGCCAAGCCCCACCTGCAAGAAACTAGCATGTGGCATTAAGGCTAGACAATGGAAAGCACTTTTCACAGGAAGGAAAATGAGGAGGTTGAGAGCCCCAAGGACATGAATAACATCTGATGATGTCACTCCCCAGCTCAAAACTTTTCAGAGGCTCCCTGTTACCCTAGGGTTGAGCTGGCAGTCCTGAGCCCAGCCTACAAGGCTCTGCCGGGTCTGGCCAGCCTGCCTCCCCCGCCCCATCTCCTCCATCCATCCCAGGTGCTCTGTTACTCAGGTGCTCAATAATGTCTTGTGAGCTTCCTTGCTGGCCAGAATCTTGCACAGATGGTCCCCTCTACTTATCTGTTTTTTTGTGTGGAGGCAGAGTCTCACTCTGTTGCCCAGGCTCGAGTGCGTTGGCTCAATCCCAGCTCACTGTAACCTCTGCCTCCCAGGTTCAAGCAATTCTCCCGCCCCAGACTCCTGAGTAGCTGGAATTACAGGCATGCACCACCACGCCAGCTGATTTTATATTTTTGGTTGGGATGGGGTTTCACCTTGTTGGCCAGGCTGGTCTTGAACTACTGACCTCAAGGGATCTGCCCACCTTGACCACCCAAAGTGCTGAGATTACAGGTGTGAGCTACCACACCTGGCCCACCTCCTCTATTTTAAACCTTCCCCTGCCTCCTCATCCCTTCTTATCTCCCTTTGCATGTCGCTTCCTCCAGGAAGGCCTCCCTAACCTCCCCACTAAACGAGGAAAGTCCACTGCCCCTCTCCTCCTCCCTCGTGACATTCCTTACAGTTGTTCACCCACTTACTTGTCTGTTTCACCAACAGGCTTAAGTGCAGGTGCTCGGACATCAGGCAGCCTGGGGCCCAGTCCTTCTAAGACATTTGTTGGCAGTGTGACTCTTGGGCAAGTTACCTACCTCTCTGTGCCTCAATTCTCTCACTGTAAAATGGGATAATAATATCTACCTTATACAGTTGTTAGGAGGATTTTTAAAGGCTTTATGTAAAAGTACCAGCGCTTATGTGCTTAATAATAACTCAGCAAACATTAGGTAGTATTTACTTAATAAACACACCTGGGATGTAGTAGGTACTCAATACACATCTACTGAGGTTATTTTATTTAACGATCCCTTACATAATGCTTATTATGTGCCAGGCACTGTTCTAAGCACATTACAACTATTAACTTGTTTTACAGACAAGGCAACTGAGGCACAGAGAAGTCAATTAACTTGCCCAAGGTTAAACAGCTAGTAGGTGGAGGAACCAGGCGCAAACCCAGGTGGTCCAGCTCCAGCATTCATGCTTTTTTAATTTTCTTTTTTTTTTTTTTTTTTTTAGTTTTTTTTTTTCTCTTGTTGCCCAGTCCAGAGTATAATGACACAATCTCAGCTTCTGGCTCCTGGGTTCAAGTGATTCTCCTGCCTCAGCCTCCCAAGTATCTGGGATTACAGGCATGTTGCCACCACACCTGGCGAATTTTGTATTTTTTATAGATATGGGGTTTCTCCATGTTGGTCAGGCTGGTCTCGATCTCCCAACCTCAGGTGATCCACCCGCCTCAGGCTCCCAAAGTGCTGGGATTACAGACGTGAGCCACCACACCCAGCCGCATCCATGCTTTTAAATGAATGAATAAATTGGCCCTTGTATGGAGGGTGGGGAGGCAGAGGCTTCACCTACAGAAGTTACTCCGTTCCACTCTTGGACTCTTGCAGATCCTGGGAGCTTCTGGCTGGCAAATGCGATCTATGGGATGTCAGTGAGGCTGGCTGAAAACCAGAGTTAAACGCAGAGGTCACCATCCCCACCATGTCCCAGGTGATGTCCAGCCCACTGCTGGCAGGAAGCCACACTGTCAGCTTGACACCTCATGATGAGCCCAGGAGGTCCCTGCACCCAGCACCCAGCCCCAGCCTGCCGCCCCAGTGCTCTTACTACACCACAGAAGGCTGGAGAGCCCAGGCCCTGATGGCCCCCATGCCCTGCATGGGGCCCCCTGGCAGACTCCAGCAAGCCCCACAGGTGGAGGCCAAAGCCACCTGCTTCCTGCCCTCCCCTGGTGAGCAAGCCTTGGGGACCCTGGAGGACCTTGACTCCTACATTGACTTCTCACTGGAGAGCCTCAATCAGATGATCCTGGAACTGGACCCCACCTTCCAACTGCTTCCCCCAGGGACTGGGGGCCCCCAGGCTGAGCCGACCCAGAGCACCACGTCAATCAGAAAGGAGGAAACTGAAGCCTTGGGTAAGGATTTGAGGTGCAGTACCAGGAGGGGGGCTTGGCGCCAGACCTCAGGAGGAAGAAGGACTTTCCTATGTACCGAGAAGGGGACAATGTCCTGTTGGGAAATGCCATGCAAATCTAACCACGTTACCAGCCCCTCTGTTTTCTGTGCTACACAAAAGGGATAAATACCTGTTTCTCTCACTAGCCCATTCTATTTGGTTGCTGAGTTTGGAAAGTGATAGGTCCCTATTTTGTGTGATTTTATGAGTACTTAAATAAGCTACTATAGAAAGTGTTTTGTGCAGGCCAGGCACAGTGGCTCACACGTGTAATCCCAGCACTTTGGGAGGCTGAGGCTGGTGGATCACAAGGTCAGGAGTTCGAGACCAGCCTGGCCAAGATGGTGAACCCCCGTCTCTACCAAAAATACAAAAATTACCCAGGCACTGTGGCAGGTGCCTGTAATCCCAGCTATTTGGGAGGCTGAAGCAGGAGAAGTGCTTGAACCCAGGAGACGGAGGTTACAGTGAGCCAAGATCGTGCCACTGCACTCTAGCCTGGGCAACAGAGCAAGACTCCATCTCAAAAAAAAAAAAAAAAGAAAAAGAAAGTGTTTTGTATAGCGCCATTCCCATAAGGAAGAGCTCAGTAAATGTGGATCCCTGACCCCGACAGCCCTAGGGTGTCTCACTTCAGAGCCTAACCTGGGTCCCCCTGAAATTTTGGTAGGATCACTATCCGGACCTCTGTCCTTGTTTAGGGGAGTATCTCTTTGGAGAGGCCACACTGGAAATGGTAGGATTGGGTAAGGACCTGGTAGTGTTCAAGCGGTGGTACGCTGGTGAATGTTTACCTGGCTCCCTGGTTGGGGAGCGGGGGCAGAGGGAGCTGATTTGAAGCTTCTGCCCATTTCCACGGTGTAAATTCTCCCACCATGGCCTATTTCAAGGTACCAACACGATGTCACTGAATGAGGAGCTAGAGACACATGCAGTAGCAGGCTATGACACAGCATTGCCACCGCACCGACACAACAGACGTAGAGAACCCCCAGAGCGCAGATAATAGTACCCTGTAGTAAAATAATTGGGATGTGATGAACCTTCAGTATTTACTACCTTTGTGTTTAATGTAAGTTACTTCATTGTAAGTGCATGTAATTATTCATAATGGCTGAGTTTAGTAACCAGCTGGACAAAATCCTGAAAATTTAACAACCAGCTCTTAACCAGCTGATGCAAGCCAATTCCGGTGCACCACCAAGTCCAAAGGAACCTGGAAATTCCCACATCTGGCTTCAGTTTCCTGAACAAAGACTTTCAAGTATTCGCCGAGGATGAGGGTCAAGGAGCTGTCCCATTAGACAGATTGGAAGACTGAGGACTCCAAGGCTTTAAACTATCAGCAACAGTGACGGGGTGCATGATTAGGATAGAGATAGGAGCCATAAGATCTTCCATTTATTGGACACGTGTTATATATCAGCCAGTGTACCGAGCACTTTGTGTAGAATCTTCAATCCTCTCAATCCACTCCCTAAGTTAAATTTTTTTTTTTTTTTTGCAACAGAGTCTCTCTCTGTCGCCCAGGCTGGAGTACACCAGGACAATCTCAGCTCACGGCAACCTCTCCCTCCTGGGTTCAAGAGATTCTCCTGCCTCAGCCTCCCTAGTAGCTGAGATTACAGGTGCCTGCCACCACACCCAACTAATTTTTGTGTTTTTAGTAGAGACGGTCTAGGCTGGTCTCAAAGTCCTAGGCTCAAGTGATCCACCTGCCTTGGCCTCCCAAAGTGCTGGGACTACAGACATGAGCCACTGTGCCCAGCCGAATATTTTACCTCCATTTTGCACATGAGAAAGCTGGGGCTGCCGGGGTTGAGTAAGGAGGCAGTCTAGCCTAATGGTTGGCGTCGGGCAGAGCGTTCACAAGCTCCTTGCTTCACTGCTTTGCATTGCAGATTCCTCATCTGAGACATGGAGGTAGTGAGGGTTCTTACCTCAAAGGTGTTATGGGGATTGAAAGAAATTACATTTGTTGGCTGCTTATCACAAATCCTGGCACACTACAAGCCATGATAAATGGTAGCTGTTTTTATTAAACATTAGGGGTTGCACGTCGGGCCAGCCCCAGGGTAGGTTTAGGCTCGGGTGGAGGCCAGCTCAGCACCCAGGCCCTCTGGCACCCTAGGTTCCTGGGCTCCTGGGCTCCTGCCTGCTCTGCCCCTCCCGCCAAGTACTGCCTGCCAGGCCTGTTAAAGAAACTGTCTCTCAAGGGTCTTCCTGTTTCTCAAGGCCAGTCATGGGCACGTCACTGCAGGAAAGGAGTCTTGGGCTTAATCACTGCTGGCAGGAGCAAGCCCAGGGTTTTACCGTTCATGGCCCAAGGCAGGCTTTCCACATGTCCAAGGCCGGCTGGGTCAAAACCAGTCCCTGCAGAACATCCACACACATTGGATGGGGGTTGGTGACAACGGGGCCCTTCCTCCACAGAAGGGGCTCATGATCAGCTTGGGGCTGATGGCGTGGGTCCACATCCACAGATGCCCTGGGCACCACATGCCACTGTGGACACGTGTCCACATAACTCTGGGGAACAGGGAACACAAGGCAGGCCCTGGCCAGAGGGTCCTGAGGAAGCCGCCTTGCTGTGCCCTGGCCCCTTCTGATGGAGAAAAAAAAACCCTTCCTCTAACCTCTGCCTGGACACCTCCAATGCCTGGGAGCTCACTACCCCCTAAGACGGCCCAGCCAGGTCAGCTCCCCATTGGGAAGTTCTCCACCATCACTAAGAATAACAGGTACCTGCACCCACAATCCTCCCCGCAGACCCTGCTACTGGTGACCAAGCTCTCACTGGCCCATGGCAGTGCAATAACTCTGAGCATCGTGGTGAGTTCTCTTACCTCTAAATGTATTCAGAGTGGAGGACGCCCTGCCATTTTATAATCTCGTCCTTCCTACGATTGGGCGATTGGGCTATTTATTCAAGCAAAGACATTCTGACATTAATGTGCTAGGACATGTTTACTATTCCTCTTCGTCCTAACTTGGCAAAATTTAAAAATTAAACATTGGCAATTCTATATTATTGACTTTTCCCCTAAATATATATAGATTTTTTTTTCTGAGACAGGGTCTTGTTGTGTTGCCCGGGCTGGAGTACAGTGGTGTGATCACAGCTCACTGTAGCCTTGAACGCCTAGGCTCAAGCAATCCTCCCACCTCAGCGTCCCCAGTAGCTGGGACTACAGGCACATGTCACCACTCCTGGTTAATTTCTTTCTTTTTTTTTTTTTTTTCTGGTGGGTGACAGAGTCATCAGGTTCAAGCGATTCTCATACCTCAGCCTCCTGAGTAGCTGGGATTACAGGTACCCGCCACCATGCCCAGCTAATTTTTTTGTATTTTTAGCAGAGACGGGGGTTTCACCATGTTGGCCATGCTGGTCTCGAACTCCTGACCTCAAGTGATTCACCTGGTTCAGCCTCCCAAAGCGCTGGGATTACAGGCACGAGCCACCACACCCGGCCAACCCGGCTAATTTTTAAACTTTTTGTAGAGATGGAGTCTCGCCATGTTGCCCAGGCTACCTCAAGTGATTCTCCTTCCTCAGCCTCCCAAAGTTCTGGGATTACAGACAGTGAGCCACATCGCCCAGCCCAGACTTAAAAACACAAAAGAAAACAAAAAAAATAGTCCATGTACCCAGCCTGGCCAACATGGCAAAAACCCAACTCTACCAAAAATACAAAAATTAATCTGGGTATGATGGCACACACCTGTACACACCTGTAGTCCCAGCTATTTGGGAGGCTGAGGTGGGAGAATCACTTGAGGTGGAGTCTGCAATGAGCCGAGATCCCACCACTGCAATCCAGCCTAGGCAACAGAGTGAGACCCTGAGTCAAAAAAAAAAAAAAGAGCAAAAGAGAGTTCATGTAATATATGATCCCAGTGTATGCCTTTGAAGGGAATAGTGGAAACCTCCTTTGACAGATGAGGAAACTGAGACTCAGGGTGGGTATGTGGTGGCTCACAGTCACACAGCCAGAGAGAGATAGGTCAGGCCCCAAATCCCAACCTACTGGGCTCCATAGGAACTCTTTCTATCTTTCTAAAGTCTAGTCTTCTGCCCGCTGGGGCATCACGGAATCCATCCATTTGGAGGCAGCCCACAGGCTCCTCTTCTGAGACCCGACCTCCTGGGCACTTCACAAACCTTCTCCAGGTTCCCTGTCCCTGCCTTCTTTTAAACTTGCCCTGGGGGTCCCCATCCCACAGGGAACGTGGTTCCTGGAAGCAAACACCATATCCATTTCTTTATCCTCTCCACCACCCCACCCCATCTTTGGAACAGGCCCACACTTTCATTTTCCAGCAATTTCTGCCAGGCAAGGCTGTTTACCAGCCCTGAGTGAAGGGCATTTAATAACTATCTCTCCACCCCCCACCCACATGCCCTCCCTCCACTCACCCGCCCACCTGGGGCTGGCGCCGGCACCCACCCAGCACTGCTCAGACTTGCCCCACAAGCCAGTAAACAGCCACTGCACCCCCGCAAAGGGTGGAGGGCCCCAACCCCGCCCCCCCAGCCACACCCACCTCGGGACAGCAGGGGGAGGTGAGTACCGGGCTCCTCCCTCCCCTCCTGCTCTCCTTACTCTGCGCCCCCAGCAAGGTCCCTGGTGGAAGTTTAGATGACCCAGTGAGTAGGGAGCCCAGAGCTTCACCAGGCCAAGAGAACCTCCCCAAAGCAGCCAAGCACCTTCTCACAGGGCAAGGCCTTAGAACGGGGTCCCAAGGAGCCCCTCCTCATCCTGGAAGAAGCAGTCCCCAAACGGAGCACAGCAACACTCCCTGGCTGTGCAGCATCGGATAACTCACTTCACCTCTCTGAGCCTTGATTTCTCATCTGTTATATGGGCGTAGGAATATGATAATATTCCCTACTTCAATAGCGTTGTCATGAGGGTTAAAGGAGCTAATACAAGCAACGTGTTCATAGTGGTCCTGGCACACAGCACTCAATACTAGCCTTTATGAAACATGGTTGTACAGGAAGTGTTAGCTCCGCCCCCACTCTTCTCCAAGCCTCAGTTTCCTCCTCTGTAAAAAGTAATACGTGCCCTGCCCGAGGGCTGTTATGAGGTTCAGAGGAGATTATGGGCGTAAACACTATAAAGTCCTGTAAAAATTGAAGTTGGCTAGGCGCGGTGGCTCACGCCTGTAATCCCAGCACTTTGGGAAGCCAAGGCGGGTGGATTGCCTGAGGTCAGGAGTTTGAGACCAGTCTGGTCAACATGGTGAAACCCCGTCTCTACTAAAAATACAAAAAATTAGCTGGACATGGTAGTGGGCGCCTGTAATCCCAGCTACTCGGGAGGCTGAGGCAGGAGACTTGATTAAACCCGGGTGGCAGAGGTTGCAGTGAGCTGATGTGCCATTGCACTCCAGCCTGGGCAACAAGAGTGAGACTCCATCTCAAAAAGAGAAGGAAAAAAATATATATATATTCAAGTTGTGCTTTCCAGCCTTCCAGAAGAATCCAACCCATTCTCCATTTGGCCAATACTGCCCCCTAAAAGCAGGCAGGTAAGAAATGCTCCTTTCTCAAGGCTCACCACGGGCTAGGCTCCAGGCTGTTGTATTTCATCCTCATCACAACCCTGCAAGACTGGTTTCAGATCCTCACTTTTCAGATAAGGAAACTGAGGCTCAGAGAGGTTAGGAAAGTTACACAGTGCCCTTGGCTGAAAAGCCGCAAAGCCAGGACTCACCCCAGGTTTGTCCGGCTACAAAGCCAGGATCTTCCTCCACCTGCTAAGCAGCTGCCAGCCCTTGCTCATCTGATGTAATCCCCCACCCCCACCGTGGCCCAAGCAGGCTCAGACAGAGGCAGTCACCATGAGCAGGGCCAAATGGCCCTACCCGGGAGCAGGCTGGGGCAGGCTGGGGCTCCACAGTCGTAATGGGGAGGAACAGTCCATGTGCCAGGGCCCCAGGCAGGTGGGAGCTGAGGGTGCACGTTCTCCCCAATTTCCCCAGCCTCCATCCCAGGAAGCCAGAGGCAAGACTCACACTCTCAAGAAGGGAGAAGCTCGTTAACCCCCACTTTCCTCCAGCGTTGCTGGAACAGCACCAAGGACAATTCCCCTCCCCCAGGTCAGGAGGATGGGGGTCCATTGAGCAGGGCGGCCCACTCCAAGGCTGACCTCGGGAGAGGAAGAAGGCCTCAGAATCCCGAGAGTCCTGGGTGCCCCCAATGGGGAGTGGAAAGCACTGGAGCGAGTCAGCAGCCTGGGGTGAGTCGCTTGACCCCTGTGCACCAGGTAGAAGCCCCGGGAGACCCGCAGCTCAAGAATGTGGCAAGCCCTGTGCTCTGGGAGTGCCTGCTCCAAAGCAGAATTCTCAAACTCTGCTGCATAGTCACATGCCCTGGGTGGCCGTCCTAAAGAGCAGATTCTATTTCTGTAGGGGTGGAGCGCGGGTAATGTTGTCCTGCTGGGCCATTCGTGGTCTAATGGACACACCTGAAAAACTGGAAAACAAACAGAACTGAGGCCTGGTTTCACCCCCTGGAGAGTCTGATCCAATTGGCATGAGGTGCAGCCTGGGGTGATTCCAGTGTGTAACCAAGCTTGAGAATCCCTGCTTTCATTGTAGGTACAGGAAACAACCACCACTTTCTTTTTATTTATTTATTTATTTTTTTGGAGATGGAGTTTCGCTCTTGTCACCCAGGCTGGAGTGCAGTGGTGCAATCTCGGCTCACTGCAACCTCTGCCTCCCAGGTTCAGCAATTCTCGTGCGTCAGCCTCCCAAATAGCTTGGATTACAGGCTCCCGCCCGGCTAGTTTTTATATTTTTGGTAGAGATGGGGTTTCGCCATGTTGGCCAGGCTGGTCTCGAACTCCCGACCTCAGGTGACTCACCCACCTCAGCCTCCCAAAGTGCTGGGATTACAGGTGTGAGCCACCTCGCCTGGCCTCAGAAAAGCCACTTTCACTCACCCTGAGTAGCAGAGGCATCAGAAAGTGTCACTGGTACAGCCCATCAAGTGGTCATTTCAACCTAGAAACAGGGCACAGACAAGGGAGGGGGTTGCCCTGTTTTTAAGCACCTGCACTGTGCCGGGAACAGTGCTGCCTCTGTGAGTTCCACGTCATCCTTTCTGTAACACCAAGAGGCTGGATGCAGTTGTCCCGCTTTACAGTTGTGGAACTGAGGCCCTGAGTGGTGAAGTCTTTTGGCCAAACTCTCAGAGAATAAGTGGCAGAGCCAGATCTGAAGCCTCGGTCTGTCTGATTCCAAGGCCTGGGTTCTCTACTGCACCTCCTTACCCAAGGTAAGTTGTCACAGGGAGGGTGACTTTGGAACTGGGTCCTGAGGTGGAGTTGGGCTCTCCTCTCTGGGCCTCAGTTTCCTCATCACTATAAAAGAGGAGGGACAGGATGACCTTGAGGACACTTCCAGTGTTTCTGTTCTGAGTCTGGGCCCCTGAGTTTCACCAGTGCTCTGCTTTTCCTCCCAAAGATATAAAGTACATCGAGGTGACCTCCGCCAGATCCAGGTGCCACGATGGCCCCCAGCGCTGCTCCAGCCCCACTGTCACCCCACCCTTCGGCTCGCCTCGCAGCGGTGGCCTCCTCCTTTCCAGAGATGTCCCCCGAGAGACCCGAAGCAGCAGTGAGAGCCTCATCTTCTCTGGGAACCAGGGCAGGGAGCACCAGCGCCCTCTGCCCCCCTCAGAGGGTCTCTCCCCTCAACCCCCACATTCCCCCAGCATCTCCATCCCTTACATGGGGAGCAAGGCCTCAGGCTCCCATGGCTGGGGCTCCCCGCTGGTGGCTTCTCCAAGATTGGAGAAGAGGCTGGGAGGCCTGGCCCCACAGCAGGGCAGCAGGGTCTCCATGCTGTCAGCCAGCCCATTGTCTGATGTCAGCTATACGTTTGGAAGGTAGGTTCTATAGCTTCTAACACTGCACACACACACAACACACACACACACACACACACACACACACAGGCACACGTGCACACACTCCCTAAAATCATTGAAAGGCACCCTGCTCTGTCTGAGCAAAATCTGGGCATGCACCAAAAGCAAAATCGAATGTTCGCTTTCACAGCCATTCAGATCTCAAGCTGTCCTCAGGTATTGAGAATACAATTCAGTATAGAAAGCCTTGACTTATATCTCCCTGTTGGGAAAAGAGCTGTTGCTTTAATGAGGCTCATCGTCTATATCCTTTCCAGCCCTCAGACAACCCGTCTCGGGGAAGGGTTTTTCCAAACCCCAAAACACAAGGCTATAAACAGAATCGGGGGGCCTGAGATGAACCATTTAGGAATAAAAAGGCTCCTTCCTCTTTGTTGCTGGCAAAACCTAGCAAAGGAGGGAGGCAGCCTTGCCTTGGCATTACTTACAATCCCAGTTGAGTTCTCTATAGACCTCACAGCAGAACTTCATGCACGTGCACACCCATCCTGCCCCAGGAAGACAGAATCCCAGGACTCTGTCTCCCATTCCACCGCCAAAGCCACTGGCCAAGGCAGTCCCTGGCACCAAGGCTGGGGATTCCATAGCCATGCCCATTGGCACGGGCCTCTGAACTCAGGGAGAAGTCTAGCTGGATGTGAAGCTGGCCTCCTTCTGCAGCTGGGGAGTTTCCTCTGCATCAGCTGCTGTGTGTTCCAGCATCACTCCAGCCCATCTGCAGGGCTCCTGGGAGTCATGGGGGCCTGGGAGGTCCTGATGCGACAGCTCAGTCAGGACAGCCTGGCTGGGAAGGCAGAGGGAGCGTGGGCCAGCCTATGCCCAAGGCCTGCAGGGGTCAGCTCACTGGCTACTTTAAGTGACCCAAGACCCTGCCATCCAGGCACATTTCTGTATCCTTACCATCCCTTGAGGATCACAGAGGTGTGTACTTTGCTCTGGGCTGTGGGGGGTGGGGTAGGCAGTGTTCTATTTGGCCAAAGCCACAGGAACCCAAATCACTAGATCCAGAGCCTGGCCCTAGCCCCTGAGCCACGCGGCCCTAACACCCTGTCTGACTCTCTCCCCGCTGCAGCAGCCAGTCCCTCCAGCACTCCAGCATCTCCAGCCATCAGTCATCTTCCAGATCCTTGGAAAGTCCTGCCAGCTCTTCCTCCAGCCTCCACAGCCTTGGCTCAGTGTCCCTTTGTACGAGACCCAGTGACTTCCAGGCTCCCAGAAACCCCACCCTAACCATGGGCCAACCCAGATCACCCCACTCTCCACCACTGGCCAAAGAACATGCCAGCAGTTGCCCCCCATCCATCACCAACTCCATGGCGGACATACCCATTGTGCTGATCAACGGCTACCCAGAACCAGGGTCTTCTCCACCCCAGCGGATCCCAGGACACCAGGGCTCTGTCCGACCTGGAGCAGCTTCTCCCAGGAACCCCTGTCCAGCCACCAGGAGTCACAGCCAGACCCTGTCAGACGACCCCTTCACCACGTGCCCAGAGGGTACGTCATAAGCCAATATTTCAAGCAATGTAAGGTTTGGGTTGGGGGAACAGACAGAGTGCCAGTGGGTTTCTGCAACAGCCAGACAACATGTTTATTCAGCAACTACTGTGTGTCCAGCACTATGCCAGGTAGTGAGGGCACACACACAGAGGGACACGGTCTAGAAAGAGAGACAAAAACAAATCACAGTCGGGTAGGATAAATGCGGAGGTAAAGAGATATTCTCATTCACACGGGCCAGAGCGGAAGGAGTGATTCTTTCAGTCTGGAGAACAGAGGAGGTAACATCCAAGCTGGATCTGGGAAGTGGATCAGAAGTTTGTGGCCAGAGAAGGAGAGGAAAGGCATTCCCAGCAGAGAGAGCAGTGGTCCCACAGTCACGAAGGTGTGGAAGCACATGGCATGTTTAGGAAATGCCAGTATGTTGGGTGCGAGTTCAGGTCATTGAGAGTAATTTGAAACCAGATTGTGAAAGGCCTTAAATGCCAAGCTAAAAAAAAAAGGAATGTGCCTTTTAAGCAATGGGGAACCATCAGAGAGCCTCCTGCAGGAAAGTGCTGGGGTCAGGGGTGCAAGCTCAATGGATCACCCTGGCCGCTGCGTGGCAGATGGATAGCAGGGGCCCGAACCGGGGTGGGGCAGCGGGGGTGGAGGAGAGAGGACAGAACCAGGCAACTCTCAGGATGTGCTTGATGACTAACCCAGGGAAAGCGAGAGGGCGAGTCGGTTCTGACTGACGTTCGTGGATGACGAGAACACAGAGGGGGTGGATGGGGTAATAGAGACAATGCATTCCAGTTCAGACAGCTGAAAACCGCAAAAAGCAAACACCCTCCTTCCCGGCATCTGAGACCACAGGTGTCCAAGGAGAAAAAATCAACCAGAATTTACAGCAGTAAACACAGAAGCTAAGCTCTAGCACCCTCAGGATGCCTCTCCCATGAGCAGAGTCCTCTCCCAACCCCCTGTTCGCTCTCCCTTGGCCATCCGGGGCTTCTCAGCCCCCACTTGGCCATGACACTCACAGGCATCAAGGTGACTCCAGGGGGATGTGAAATGTTTACTGTAGCCCACTGCTCACTCTCACTCAGGAAGCCATGTGGATGCAAGCAGAGAAAATGACACTTCCGGCATGCCTTTGCATCTGCCCTGATGGCTTTCCTAGGACAGATCGTTTGCAGATTTTAGCATTTTTTTAAATGAGTTACTTAGTAACTGGTCACAACAATCATTTTTTGTTTTTTGGGTTTTTTTATATTTTAGTTTATTTTATTTTATTTTGAGATGGAGTCTTGCTCTGTCACCCAGGCTGCAGTGCAGTGGTGCGACCTCAGCTCACTGCAACCTCCACCTCCTGGGTTCAAGAAATTCTCCCATCTCAGCCTCCTGAGTAGCTAGTACTACAGGTACGTGCCACCATGCCTGGCTAATTTTTGTATTTTTCGTAGAGATGGGGTTTCGCCATGTTGATCAGCCTGGTCTCAAACTCCTGACCTCTAGATCCACCCATCTTGGCCTCCCAAAGTGCTGGGATTACAGGTGCGAGCCACCGCGCCTAGCTAGCTGCAACACTCCTTTTCAAGATGCCAAGGTTGACAGTCACTGCCCTCTGCCTTAGGGACCCAGGGAAATGGGCATTTTGGCATCTCAAAGAGCACATTTACTTAGCCTAGTGATATTGCCATCCTGCTTTGGTGATGTCCCATAGTATCACTAACTGTACCCCCAGATCTATCAAATTCTGTAAAATATTCTCAGAACAAAATTTATGTTAATTTCACAGGCACTGGAACGTTAAAGACCCTCCGAGGTGGTTTAGTCCACCTGGTCCCCTCTGGGCTTCAGTTGTCCCAGATCAGAGTCAAGACCCAAGCCCCCGACTCCCAGAGGCATGCTTTTCTGCCCAGATCTGCTGTTTTCCTCCTTCATGGTTTCTTCCATTTTCTTTTTCAAGCTGAATATACCCCTAAGGAATTCTTAGGATTACGAAGCCAGAGGAGAATGTGTTATCAAACCTGATGCATCTGAGAATTCCTTGTTTATCTTATTTCAGTTCTCACCAAGGAACTCAACACTAGATTTGAGAAACCATTTTTCCTTAAACTGAGGTTGTATCTATTCATTTTTTACTCATTACGAAGGAAATGAGGGTGCTTCTGAGTTCCAGATGCACCAAACCCTGGCTTCCTTCTGTTTGATTTTCCCTCTCATAGGCAGTTTGGAGATACAATGGGGTTAGGGTCTGGGATGGTGGTTGAATGAGACCTTGGAGCACAAGAGTAGGGAAGGGTCTCCAGGCTTCTCTGGTGCAGATCCTTCAGATCCCCTCCGTACAGCCCACAGCATCCCCCTTCTCTGTCTGTCTCCAGGTCCCATCAGGGACATGCAGCCTACCATGAAGTTTGTGATGGACACATCTAAATACTGGTTTAAGCCAAACATCACCCGAGAGCAAGGTAAAAGGAAGCATGAGTGACTCCAGAATCGGGTCTGGGTCTTGCACTTTGCATCAGGCAGAGCCCTGGGTCACAGTTAAGGAAAGGCAAATAGTGGGTCCAGGGAAGCAAGCAGGGGGTGGGGGTCCACTGACCTCATGACCTCCCGAGGAAGTAGGAACCACAGCAAGAATGGTGGAGATTTGGCAGTAGAAAGAACTTCCTGGGGACAAAAGGTGACTCTGCCACATCTGCTCTGTGAAGACCCTACGGGGCTAGGGACAGACGGTGTCCAGGTGGGGCAGTGTCCATCTCTGACTCAAAGATTGTTCCAGCAATCGAGCTGCTGAGGAAGGAGAAGCCAGGGGCTTTTGTCATAAGGGACAGCTCTTCATACCGAGGCTCCTTCGGCCTGGCCCTGAAGGTGCAAGAGGCCCCCGAATCTGCCCAGAACCGACCAGGTACGCATCTGTCTCTGTGCTCACTCAAGGCCTCATTGAGGCAGCGGGCTATTCTAGGTTCCAGTCCTGGCTCTGCCACTAGCTTTCAGGGTGAGCTGGCGCCAGTCTTATACCAGCTCCTGGGAGAAGCGTCCACCCCGGTATTCCCCCGGACGCCCTCCAGCCCCGAGGCACCCTGAAAAACGCCTTTCACAGCAAGCCTGAGTGCTTCTGCCTTCCCGAGCTCCCCCCCCCCTAGTTTTTCCTGCTTTTTCCTTCTCATGGTGGGAGAGAAGGAGGGGGTCCCAACCCCTTCTAAGCTGCTGTCTTTGGAGTCAAACCGGATTCATTTCCAGGGAACCTAATGTATGATTACACAGGTGTGTGCTAACTCGTCTCATGGGTGATAGCTCATCACGTGTGTGTACTAGCTCAGCACACGTGTGTGTGCTCCCTTCTCATATGCTTTCCCGTGGTCTCCCATGCTCATTTGATCACTCAGCAAATGTCTATGGGGCATCCACCACACACCAGGCCCTGTATGAGGCGGCAGGGATACAGAGGAATCAGACGCAGACGTCACCTCACTAGGGAGACAGACGAAAACAGATGATTACGGTAGCAGGTACCTGGGTCATAGGCCTCACTCAAACCCCAGGATCGAACCCTCTTATTTAATGGATGAGGTAACAGAGGCTCCCGGAGTTACTTAATGACCCCAGAGCAATTAAGTGATAAAGGGAAGATGATGCACCCAGTCTTGTGTTCTTGTCAGTGTGCCTCACTGTCACAATTAGAAAGTGACGTCTGGGGAGGGCGCTGCTTATAAAGGACCACTTGCAAGAGGCAGTGAGCCCAGACTGAGGAGGGTGCTGTGGGCTGGGGGAAAGGAGTCAGAAGATCACTGTTTGCCCCCCTTCCCCTTGGGGACCAGCCTGGCTCCAGCAGAGATGACCTGGTGGGCAGGGGGAGACAGAAGTCAGACCAAAGGGTCGATTTTTAGCTAAACAATAATTAAGAAGTCTCCCTGCGGGGCACAGTGGCTCACGCCTGTAACCCCAACACTTTGGGAGTCCAAGGCAAGAGGATCATTGAGCCCAGAAGTCTGAGATCAGCTTGAGCAACATGGCAAAACCCCTTCTCTACAAAAACTACGCAAATGAACCTGGTGTGGTGGAGCACACCTGTAGTCCCAGCTACTTGGGAGGCTGAGACAGGAGAATTGCTTGAACCCAGGAGGTTGCTGAGGCTGTAGTGAGCCATGATCACACCACTGCACTCCTGCCTGGACCACAGAATAAGACCCTGTCTCAAAAAAAAAAAAAAAAAAAAAAAAATACCTAGGCCTCTTGGTGTCTCACACCTGTAATCCCAGCATTTTGAGAGGCTGAAGCAGGAGAAACGCCTGAGCTCAGGAGTTCAAGACCAGCCTAAGCAATATAGTGAGAACTTGTCTCTACAAAAAAATAAGCCAGACATGGTGGGGCACACCTGCAGTCCCAGCTACTCAGGAAGCTGAGGTGGGAGGATTCCTTGAGCCCAGGAGATTAAAGCTGCAGTGAGCTGGGATTGTGCCACTGCAGTCCAGCTTAAGAGACAGAGCGAGACCCTGTCTAAAAAAAAAAAAGAAAAGAAAAAAACCGTGATAGCTTTTGACCAAGAGAAAGATTTCCCCACCCCACCCCCAAAAAAAAGAGAAGAAAAAGGTTTCCTGAAATGGGGGAGGCTGAACCCAGGAGCCTTTGAGCAGACGTGTTGGTACCTCTTCTGTGGGAGAGAGAGGCAAGGGATGGACAGGTGGAATTTCTTTTTTTTGGGGGGGGGGTGTTAAGACCAAGTCTCACTCTGTCACCCAGGCTAAATAAGCTAGAACTACAGGCATGTGCCGCCATGCCCGGCTTTTTTTTTTTTTTTTTTTTTTTTTTTTTTGAGATGGGGTTTTTTTTTGTTGCCCAGGCTCGTCTCAAACTCCTCGGTTGAAGTGATTCTCCTGCCTCAGCCTCCCTAGTAGCTGGGATTATAGGCATCTACCACCACACCAGGCTAATGTTTTGTATTTTTAGTAGAGACAGGGTTTTACCATGTCAGTCAGGCTGGCCTCAGATTCCTGACCTCAAGTGATCCTCCTGCCTTAGCCTCGCAAAGTGCTGTGAGTGACCAAGCCTGGCCGCAAGGTGGAAGTTCTTTTCTTTTCTTTTCTTTTTCTGAGATAGAGTTTTGCTCTGGAGTGCAATGGTGTGATCTTGGCCCACCACAACCTCTGCCTCCTGGGTTCAAGCGATGCTCCTGCCTCAGCCTCTTGAGTAGCTGGGATTACAGGCATGTGCCACCACACCTGGCTAATTTTATATTTTTAGTAAAGACGAGGTTTCTCCATGTTGACCAGGCTGGTCTTGAACTCCCGACCTCAGGTGACCCGCCCACCTCTGACCCAATTCTCTGCCTCAGCCTCCCAGAGTGCTGGGATTACAGACATGAGCCACAGCACCCTGCCACAAGGTGGAATTTCTATCCGAATCCACTCTCTTCTTTCTCTGTCCAGGAGAGGACAGCAATGACCTTATCCGACACTTCCTCATCGAGTCTTCCGCCAAAGGAGTGCATCTCAAAGGAGCAGATGAGGAGCCCTATTTTGGTGAGACTCCCCAGCCTGCAGGCTCCCTGAGGGCAGTGGGCCAGTGAAGTCTCCGTCTTGCGCTGTGCAGTTGGGCCGGGGGAGCCCGACTCATGCAGGGCTGCTTGCTTCCCTTCAGGGAGCCTCTCTGCCTTCGTGTGCCAGCATTCCATCATGGCCCTGGCCCTGCCCTGCAAACTCGCCATCCCGCAGAAAGGTGGGTCTGGACCCTAAAGAGGCAACGCCAAGGTGGGGGACATGTTCGTTCTCACTAGGAACGGTCTCTACTTCTACCTTGTTTGTGGGTTGTTTTAGTGTCACATGCATGGGCCAGGCACGGTGGCTCACGCCTCTAATCTCAGCACTTTGGGAGGCTGAGGTGGGTGGATCACAAAGGTTAGGAGTTCAAGACCAGCCTGGCCAAGATGGTGAAACGCCAAAAATCAGCCAGGCATGGTGGCAGGCACCTGTAATCCCAGCTACTCGGGAGGCTGAGGCAGAGAATTGCTTGAACCCAGGAGGCAGAGGTTGCAGTGAGCTGAGATCACACCACTGCACTCCAGCTTGGGCGACAGAGCGAGACTCTATCTCAAAAAAACAAAAAAAAACTGTAGGCACTGGAGTCACTCAACATCTCCACTTCCTAACTGTGAAAATGTGAGAATGTTGACCTCTCTGAGCCTCAGTTTCCTCATCTATAAAATGGGGGCAATCATCATCCTACCTACTTACAGAATTGCTGTGCAGACTAAATGGGATCGCTTGAGCAAGGAAGGCCCTTAGCACAATGCCTGGCATAAAATGGATGTTGGATAATCGCAGCCTGCTTTGAGAGGATGAAAGGGCTTCAATCAAACAGTTTGGAGAGCTTTTGTCTTTCCAGGGTAGAAATTTGTTGAGCGCTCACTCACCCATTCATGCTTCACTACAACCTTGTGAAGTAGACTTTGCTGTTATCATAGACATGGTGAAACCCTGCCTCTACTAAAACTCCAAAAAATTAGTCGGGCGTGGTGGTGAGCGCCTATAATCCCAGCTACTCTGGAGGCCGAGGCAGGAGAATCAGCCTCCTGAGTAGCTGGGATTATAGGCGCTCACCACCATGCCCGGCTAATTTTTTGTATTTTTGGTAGAGACGGGGTTTCACCATGACAGCTCCTGCCATATGCCCTGAGCCCAGGAGGCGGAGGTTGCAGTGAGCCAAGATCACGCCACTGCACTCCAGGCTGGGTGACAGAGCGAGACTACGTGTCAANAAAAAAAAAAAAAAAAAAAAAGAAAGGAAAGGAAAATGAGGGTTCTAGATGTTAAGTAACTTGCCCGAAGGCCCGCAGAGTCAGACCTTGAATTGAGATCAGCATGCCCTATCCAGAACATGCCGCCGGTGGGCAGCTCGGATGGAACAGCTCATCTTAGAGGTGCGCAGTTTCTGGGAAGGGCATCGGGGCAGGCGAGCCCCAGAAGACTGATGGCAAGGACCTCCTCGCTTTCTGTGGACAGGCCAGGAGTTGGGACAGGGTCCAAAAGAAGTGAGGAGGTCAGACGACAAGGTCACAGCAGCCATCTAGGAGGTGGGAGGCGAGGAGGAGAAGGAGAGATAAAAGCCTTGCAAACTAAGCATTTAGGGAGCCCAAGGTGGCCCGTTTGCCTAATTCCGGTAATCACACCTGGTTTGAGTCACTTCCTGGAGGTGGGGGCAGAGGCGAGAGAACTTCAAAGGGATTAACAGGCCTGTTCCTGTGAGAGGGTCCATTCACTCCACCCCTGCCCTCTTGGGGGCCTGTTGCTTTGTCTTGGCTCAGAACTGGGTGGTGCAGACGCGGCCTCGGACTCTGCAGACAGCCTAGCCTCCTGCCAGAAGAAATCTGTGGGTAAGTGGTATAGGCCGTTAGGCACCAAGCTTGGCTGTGCCCGGAGAGGGCACCTCCCAACCCTTCACACACGCACGCACACACACACGCACAGGCCCACACATGTTTCCCATCTCAGCTTTGTTTCTGCATCTTTAACAAGGTGCCACACCTCACTCCCTCCCCCCTCATCCCTGTATAACAAGATGAGAGGCTGCGGGCACCGGGCCAGCAGGGAAGTGGGGCAGGGTGGGGGGGGGGGTGACAGAACTTGCACTCCCTCCTGCACACACACAGGCACATGCAGATGTGCTAGGGTCTCTCTGTGTCTGCAGAACCTACCCTGGAGGTGGTCTCTGGCCTGGGATCCTCTGTGGGTGTGGGTCTGAGTCCTGGAGGCTTCACCCTGGGAAAGGTCCCGGCCCACACTCCCAGAGGTCAGCACAGATCAGCACTCGTCTCAGTGACAGCTCCTGCCCTATGCCCTGAGCACAAACTGTTCACCTCCCCATTCTTGTGTTCTGTCCCCACGGTTGTCACTGAACCAAGACCTCCAGGGTAGAGGTGTGGGGAGGAGGGCAGCCGTTAAGTGTGGACAGAAGGACATTTTCCTGGGCACTCCTACACACAGGGCAACTTCCCCTCCCCTGCCCCATGCTGGAGGGCCAGGGACCAGGGTGATGCAAAGCCACCAAAGATCCCAACATCCTCTGGGGTTGGCCTCAAACTGTGGTCACGCACGCACCCACTTCCTGTTGGGTGGCCCTAAGAGGAGCTGCACTAGATTCCTGAAGAGAGACTCAGCCCCTCCCCAGCTCTGGACAGAGGGAGGATCTGGGCCTGGGTCAGTGGCCCCAGCATGGTATCTGCCTTCCACAGACTGCCACACCCTGTACCTGAGCTCGGTGAGTGTGGAGACCCTGACTGGAGCCCTGGCTGTGCAGAAGGCCATCTCCGCCACCTTTGAGAGGGATGTCCTCCCCACACCCACCGTGGTCCACTTCAAAGTTACAGAGCAGGGCATTACCCTGACCGATGTCCAGAGGAAGTAAGAGCCTTCCCTTGCCCTGGGGCTGTGAGGCTGGCGGAGTAGAGCTAGAGAGGATAGCTGAGACAGCCGTGAATCAGGGATGAAGGTGGAGTTCAAGGTCCTGGTGACCCAGTAGGGCCAGTGATGTGCTGAGTGACTCCAGGTAACTTCCCTGCCTTCTCCAGGCCTCGCTCCACTGCCAAAGCCCCTGTTCATCGTGACTGATGAAAATGGAGTTAACTAGTATTCATGGGTGCTGATTATGCCTGCACCCATTGCTGGAACATCTTCCCTAGGCCAGACTCAGGCTGACCACGGGACCCAGAGAGGAATGAGATCGTTCCTTCCCTGGGCTCGGGCTTGCACAGTCTAACAGGAGCCTGATCCAGGGCTGGGCACTTTACAGGGAGAAACAAGAGATGACCAAGACATAATTCATGTCCTCAAAAAGTTAGGGGCCAAAAGAAAATTAAATGGTGTGGTACGGGTGTGATAGAAAAGCCCAGAGTGTGAGACAGGAGAGGAGAGAGGCAGGAGCGGGGCGCCTGGGCCCCACGGTGGCAAAGGCCATCGTGGCCCTCGAGGTCTAACTCAGAGACTTCTTGGAGGACAGGGCACCTGAGCTTGGGGGGACAAGAGCTGACGGAGACAGGGTGACACTGAGACAGGCTCTCACCGCTTCCCTTCTCTCCCTGCCTCCTCGCAGGGTGTTTTTCCGGCGACATTACCCACTCACCACCCTCCGCTTCTGTGGTATGGACCCTGAGCAACGGAAGTAAGTTCAAGGCTGAGCTAAACTCAGAAGACCGTCCAGGGCCCAGCTGCCCACCAAGGTCTCCTGCCAACTCCGGGACTGGGATCCCAGAGACAGCCTGTGAACCTCAAGGGGTCAGGGCGACAGAATAAGGGCCGGGTGGGGCGTGGTGCGGCGTGGTGGGGCAAGGACGCAGCTGGCCAGTTCCTCCTGCGGCTCCTCCCACGTCCTGTGGCATGGAGCGAAGCCTTATTACTCCATATCATGTTCTTTTCCCACAGGTGGCAGAAGTACTGCAAGCCCTCCTGGTAAGACCCTCCTGTCTACTCTGTCACCAAAGACAGGTCCTTGTCTCAGGGCCCCGACCCCAACATGGGGAGGGAATTAGAGTAGGAAAGAGGCCCCATTCTGACTTTAATAGTCCAAGGTGTTGATGAGGGCACAGTCCCTGGTCCACCGGGAGCGCCCATCTGATGGGAGATACTTTGCCCTCAGAGCACCTCTGGGCTGATGGGGTCCACATGAGCCTGGGAGCCCTCAATCTTCTGCAAGAGGTACATGCTCCAACTTCAGGGAGCCTCAATCTAATGAAATGTCACAGTCTGATGATCAAGATGCATCCTTGCCCTCAGGAATCTTCCACTCTAACGGGGAATGCACAGGTCTTGTTCTCAAGGTGCCCCCATTCAAAACAAAGGAAACCCAGAGCTTGAACTCAGAAATCTCCCAGTCTGGCAGGAGAGGCACCTCCTTCCTCAGGGAGCCCCATCATAAGGAGGTGCTAGAGCAAACTGGCTGAGGGAGGGGTAAAGAGGAATGACATGCAGGCTGAGGGCCCCCACCATCCCCTTCCCATCAGCCTGATGCCTCCCTGGGTCCCACCCCTCACTCAGAATGCCCTCCCCCACCAGGATCTTTGGGTTTGTGGCCAAAAACCAGACAGAGCCTCAGGAGAATGTGTGCCACCTCTTTGCGGAGTATGACACGGTCCAGCCAGCCTCGAAGGTCATCAGCCTGGTGACTGCTCTGCTGCAGGATGCAGAAAGGATGTAGGGGAGGGACTGCCTGTGCACCTGCCCGACGCCTCCAGGGGCTCGCTCAGGGGCCCTCCTTTACCCCCTGAATGGGCGTGGCTTGTGGCCATATTGGATTGGCATCAATTCAATTGGGATTGGCAACAAGTTGACACCCTGGAACCTGCTGTGACCTTCAGCAGTCACCATCATCCAACCCCCCGGGCCTCAGTTTCCTCAACCGTAGAAGGAGACCAATAGACAAAATCAGCTGTTCTCAGATGCTGGCAGGCATCCTGATGAATGAGCACGCTGAGAGTTCATCGTGATGAACATGCTCCTCTGTGATTCTGAAGCATGCCCACGTCTGAGGACCCCGCCATGAAAATAACCTCTGAGAGCCCTCTGACCCCATCAACCTGGGCTCTGTGGACACAACAGTCTGATCGAGAGACCTGTGGCCCCTGTTTCATGGCAGACAGCAGGTGCCTGGTGGTGACCCACGGGGCTCCAGGCCTGCAGCTGGTGACAGTCAAGGACTGACCACAAAACGGGAATGGATAGACTCTATTTCCTTCCACATCTGTTCCTTTCCCGACTTTCTGGATGGCGTTTTGGATCCACGCGGCCAGGATGCTACAGGCCAAGCTGGGTGTGGTATTTAGGGCAGCTCAGCTGGGGAACGTGCCCCCATGATCAGAGGGGATACAGCTGTCCTGCACCCCCTTGCAGATGAGTATCACCCCATCTTTTTTTTCCATTTTTTTTTTAGATGGAGTCTTGCTCTGTTGCCCAGGCTGGAGTGCAGTGGCGCGATCTCAGCTCACTGCAACCTCCGCCTCCCAGGTTCAAGCGATTCTCATGCCTCAACCTCCCAAGTAGCTGGGATTATAGGCAGTGCCACCACACCTGGCTAATTTTGTATTTTAAGTAGAGACAGGGTTTCACCATGTTGGCCAGGCTGGTCTTAAACTCCTGACCTCAGATGATCCACCCACCTCGGCCTCCCAAAGTGCTGGGATTACAGGCATGAGCCACTGAATCTGGCCTCTTTCCGTTTTTTGATAGGTGAGTATTCCAAATCAGGTGTCATAAGGGCCATCTTTCTGTGGTTCTGCCTCAGTCTTGCTGAGCCCTCCACACACACACACACACACACACACACACACACACACACACACACACACACACACACACACACACACCCCTCTACTGCTATGTGGTGTCAACCAGCCTCACAGCCACATGGGGACAGCAGAGAGTCAAGAATGCAAACAGGCCACCTCCCTAAGAGGCTTGGAAAGGCCGGGCTGTTTCCCACCCCCGCCCCACCCCCACCCAGCCTCCAGAAGCTGGAACCATTTCTCTCGCAGGCCTGAGTTCCTAAAGAAACCACACTACTGGAGTGGAAGGCAGAGTCAGGGAAGAAGCCCACTCCTGCTCTGTGAGGAGCAAGTGTGGGCCCCCTCCCAGCGGCCAGCCCTGCCAAAGCTGCATTATCTTTGGCCAAGGTTGGGCCTGAGATTATGATTTCAGCCCTGGGCTTGTGGGGGAGGCTGAGCCCAGCCCACCCAGCCTGTGGTCGGGCACTGCCTGGCCGCCAAAGTCTGCAGAACGTGAGATGAGGTTCTCAAGGTCACAGCACCCAGTCCCAGCCTGGGGGCTGGCAGAGGCCCCCGTATACTCCTGTACTGCTCCTATCATGAAAAATAAAGTGTTAGTCTTTGCAAAACAGTAAGTTCTGAGGCAGCCGGGCCTGTGGCCTGGGAGATGGAGACCTGAACAGAGATGGGGTCCCGACTTGGGAGGGCATGGCTGCGTCTTAGGGGTGACCGGGTGTGCCACACTCCCTGCCACACGCCTGGCCACGCCACTCCAGGCTCAGCACACTTCCACTTCTAAACCATTGCTCAGCCACTCTGTGTCCCCCACACAACACGCTTGTTCTTCTTTCTTCATCACCCCTTTCCTGCCACTCTGCTAGGGAAACAGAAGGCTTGTGATTTTCCAGGGCCTAAGTGAGTGTGTATGGTGCCCCTGATGGACTCCAAGGTCTCACTCAGCCTCCACGGAGAGGCAAGGAGAGGCGGCAAAACATGAACCCCTCAAGAGGAGTCCAGAAGAGTCCCCGAACCCAGATGGCCCCAGAGCTACCAGCTCAGCCCTGGAGAACTGGGCTGTGGTCGGGCACGGTGGCCCACGCCTGTAAAACCAGCACTTTGAGAGACCAAATAAGGAGGATGGATTGAGCCCAGGAGTTCGAGACCAGCCTGAGCAACGTAGGGAGATCCTGTCTCTACAAAAAATACAAAAAGTTAGCCAGGCATGGTGGCATGTACCTGGAGTCCCAGCTACTCAGAAGGCTGAGGTGGGAGGATCACTTGAGCCTGGGAGGTCAAGGCTGCAGTGACCTGTGGTTGTGCCACTGCACTCCAGCCTGGGTGACAGAGTGAGACCCTACCTCAAAAAAAAAAAAAAAAAAAGAATTGGTCCCTGGCCTGTTGTTCCTGCCCTGGGTCTGGGGAGTTCTACCCCCAGCTTCTTCCAGTGGCAGTCTGCCCCTCAACCCCGAATCCCAGAGGAATGTCCCTTCCCAGACCTGCTCCAGACTTCACTGCGACGAGGTTGCCAGGGCTGGCACGCCCTGAGAAGGCCTCGGCAAGGATGCCAGAGAGGCTGCGGCCCCTCTGCACTCCTGCAGGGCTTTGGGAATGGAGAGCCCCTCCTTCCGTCGGGGCTGAGCCATGTGACCCAGTGGCAGGGGCAGGGCCCAGGGCCCATGAAGAGAACTTCCCAATGGCCTTGAACCACTGCCGAGTAGCCCCTGCCTCCCGTTCCACTGCCCCAGTGCCGTTCCAGATAGAGACTCCTCTCCGTTCCTTGCCCTGGCCCCAGTTGGCCCAGCCTCAAACAGAGTTCCTGGAAGGCGATCATTTCTGCTGCATTTGCCATAGCTCATGTTTCCCCTGAGAAGATTTAGCAGAAAACTTAGGACTTTTGCTGAGGGCCAAGCAGCTGGCTGGCAGGAGTGGGAGGGCTGGAGGGGAGAGAGGAGGAAGGATAGCCACTGAGCCAGGAGTCAGGAGGGACGGAGCTACCATATCCACACAGGGACACCAGTGTTCTCTCCAGGGGGATCCAGGCCCAGTAGCCCTGGTCTTACTCCCGCCTCAGCGCCCCCTCCAGTGTCTCTCTCCCCAGTCTCTCCACCCTCCCCATCCCTTTCTTGATCTCCACACATGGCACACCACCCACCCTCCCTCCCTCTCTCCTCCTCCCATTTCCCCTCTCCTTTCTCACCCTCTCTCCTCAGCATGCCTTGTCTACCTGATCACCCCTTTACAGAGAAACCGTTCCTCCTTCTTGCTCTTTTCCACTTGAATTTCCTTGGCCCTTTGTCCCAGGTGGCTGGACACACAGCAGAGGCCAGTTGCTGCTGGAGTTCATGAGAAGGGAGCCGGGGAGCCTCCTGCACTGCCAATCATTTCTCAAAACCAGGTTCCAGTTTGAGGCCAGCCTGGCCAACATGGTGAAACGCTGTCTCTACAAAAAAAATTCAAAAATTAGCCAAGTATGGTAGCATACCTGTGGTCCCAGCTACTTGGGAGATTGAGGCATGAGAATTGCTTGAAACCTGGGAGTTGGAAGTTGCAGTGAGCCGTGATCATTCCACTGCACTCCAGCCTGGTTAACAGAGAAGATGCTGTCTCCAAAAAAAAACAAAAACAAAAAACAATTCAGGTTCCCACACCCGCTAAACCCTGCCTCCTCTCAAACTACAGAGACCTTTCCAGGAGGCTGAAGTGCCCTTATCCTAACCATCTGACCAGCCACCGCCCCATGCCCAGGCCCCACCCAGGGCTGAGGCCACTCACTGCTCTGTTTCATCTTTGGTCTATGATCCTTCACTCTCTTTTCTTTTTTTTTCCTGAGAACGGAGTTTTGTTCTTGTTGCCCAGGCTGGAGTACAATGACACAAAATCAGCGCACCGCAACCTCCGCCTCCTGTGTTCAAGCAATTCTCCTGCCTCAGCCTCCCAAGTAGCTGGGATTACAGGCATGCACTACCACATCCGGCTAATTTTGCATTTTTAGTAGAGACGGGGTTTCTCCATGTTGGTCAGGCTGGTCTCGAACTCCCGACCTCAGGAGATCCACCCGCCTCAGCCTCCCAAAGTGCTGGGATTACAGGTGTGAGCCACCGCCCCCAGCCTTGTTCCTTCACTTTTGTGCCATGCGACGGTCCAAGGGCTTAGACCCAGGGCAGGGGTGGGGTTAAGGGCTTTCAACCCAAGGGACAGTGCCTTGATTCATGCAACAAGTGTTCTCCAGCTGTGTGCTTTATTCGTGTGAACCAGGAAAACAGAAAGCCATGACAGTGTTTACAAGTGCCATGCAGGGCTGGCCAAAGGAGTAAAAATGGAAAGATAAACTTTACCCACTTGAAGGGAAAGAGGGCAGTGTTACCAGGAAGGTAATATTTGAGTTGGGTCTTCAAGGATGAATAGGAGTTTAGCATGCAAAATGGGGTAGAAACCAACTTTTAGGAGGAGGAGGGACTCTTATGTGCTAAACATAATCTGAGGCACGTTGCATATGCCTGATACCATTTTACAGATTAGAAAACGGGCTCAGAGGGTTAACTTGGCCACATTCACCTAAATGTAAATGGCAGAGAAACATTTCAAGTCTATGCCCATCCTGTTGCCCCAACATTCACAGAAGGCAAATGGAGACATTAGCGTTTGAAGTACACAGGTATGAAGAGGTGTACCACGTTTGGTGTGGCTCAAGTACCTGGGACCTAAGAGAGCAGGTGAGAGAGAAGGCAGAAGAAAGAGGCAGGAACAGGACCCTCAAGACCCTTGGGTGCCAGCTGAGAATGTCCGGAGATTGAACACTCACTGAATGAATGAGATGAGACTCAGCACTGCTGTGTATGAATGTGTGGGCTATGCAGTACATGGTCATACATGGCACCTTGCTCAGGCTTTATCCTGTAGGTAATGAGGATGAGGTAGAAAATGGAACTGGACTCCAGAGGCACAGCTGGACACAGGTTGGACTCAGGACTACCTAAAACAGGGATGGGTGGGAGGAGCTTTCCCTAAGACACACCCACCAGTGTGTCATGTCAGTTTACCATTGCCGTGGCAACACC